AGACAGAGGCAGAGGGGGAGAGAGAGAGAGAGAGAGACAGAGGCAGAGGGGGAGAGAGAGAGAGAGAGAGACAGAGGGGGAGAGAGAGAGAGAGAGAGGGGGAGAGAGAGAGAGGCAGAGAGAGAGAGAGAGATTAGGATGGAGTCTCTTACAGGCACAGATTGTTTTCACCCTCAGAAAAAATCCCTCCATCCATCTTCTAACACCCTGGTCCCCTAGTGGGTCAGAAGGAGCTGCTGCCTCTCCTCTCCATTCGAGAGGTGGGGTCACCTGTCCAGGTCACCTGTCCAGGTCATCAGTCTGTTGCAGGGCAGAAAAAAATCAAGCCTCCTAAAAACAAAAAACAAAATCATCCCTGTTTTTGGTCTCATTATTTTATCTTGAAGTTCACAGCAAACAGGAAGTTAAGACGTTTCTCTCTCCCCCTGCAGTGCGGCTCCCTCGCCCCGTCCACTCCCCTGACAGGACGCGTCTACCTGAAGGAGAAGGACCTGCTGTTCACGCCCGTCTCCGCGGCGACACAGAGCGTGAGCCGGCTGCAGAGCATGGTGGCGGGTCTGAGGATGGCTCCCAGTGAAAACCTGCTGCAGATCTTCAGGTTGGCTCCAGTTCCCTGCTGCGGCGCCGTCTGACCCTCCTTCAGCCCGGTAGACCCGATTCTGCTGGGACCAAACTGCAGCATTGGTTCCATTTGTCACGAACCATTTCTCCTGTTAGCGCTTAACAGATTATATTTACCCAGAATGCCCTGTGCTGTAGTCCACTTCCTGCTTTTGGAGCAGTCTCTGGTCTGCTTGGCGTTCACATTCAAACTGAACCAGACCGAGGTTACCAAACAGAGCCGGTGTGAAAGCAGCCCTCGTTTAAAGATTTACAGGGTTTTTGTTGTATCGATCTGCTTTGTTTCCTCCTTTGTTTAGTCAGAAGTTTGACATTTCATTCATAGTTTCAGCAATCAGAAAGGTTTCTGTTCTCTTTGGTCTTAACTTCCTGTTTGCTCTGAAAGCTGATCCTCACCATGACTCGGCTCTTTAAGAACATAAATCCTTCAGTTTGGGTTTTTATAGCAAAACACTTCATGAGTCATCTTCTGCCATTGATTTTCATGTTTGTCTCTGCAGGTCCTGCTCCAGAGATCCCACTGACTCCATTCTGGCTCGGGTCAAAACTTTGGGACAAACTTTCAGGGAACATTACACCAACGACTCCGAGGACACGCCGGGATCTCACATCGGTACGAGGAACGCCTGAATGTTCCTGTTTCAGACTGTAAACCTGAATGTTCCTGTTTCAGACTGTAAACCTGAATGTTCCTGTTTCAGACTGTAAACCTGAATGTTCCTGTTTCAGACTTTGCCGAGAGCCGCTGGAAGCTGGCTGAGATCCTCTACCACAAAGTCCTGGAGAACGTTCTGGTCCAGGAGACGAAGCGCCTGCAGGGCCGGGACATGAGCGTAAGCAGAGAGCGGAGCAGAGTGCGGCGGCGTACTGTCCCTTTAAATCTGACCCTGCGTTTCCTGCCAGGTTCTGCTGGAGCAGGACATCTTCCACTGCTCCCTGATGGCCTGCTGCCTGGAGGTGGTCCTGTTCTCCTACAGCTCCCAGAGAACCTTCCCCTGGATCATCTGCGTCTTCAAGCTGCCGCCGTTCTACTTCTTCAAGGTAACCAGTCCCTCAGGACAGGAAGTGACGTTCGGGACAGGAAGTGACGCTGCGCTGCTGGAATGTGCTGACGGTTCCTCTAACGATGGGATCTGGAGCTTAGCTCCTCACTGGGATGTCGGCGCAGCCTTAAAAAGTCTTCAATCCAGGCATCTAAAATGAAAATGTTAAATTAAATTCGTTATGTAAATCTTAAGTTTTGTTGTGACAGGATATTTAATCTAAAATATTCTCATTAGTTTTCATCACCAATCATTTTTATTGTTTAGGTCTGAAATGTCACCAAACCGCCGACCTTTAGGTGTTTTTCTGTTTTTTTCTTTAAATTAGTTAAAATTTTGGACAGAATTTGGACAAAGTTTATGCTTACAAAATAAAACATGAGCATCAGAAACTGAAAGACAGAACCAATTTGTGAGAATTTTTCGTAAATAAAGTGCAAAAAATGATCAAACTGTTTTGATTAAATGACAGTAAAATGAAATAAAATCTGTGGAGAGAATCTGAAGCTAAAATATTGATCTTTCCATGCTGAGATTGATCTGATACTGACTTGGTATCGTTATCGATATTTCGCATCGATCCTCTCACTGCATTCTGTGACTCAAGGCGGTTGAAGCTACCGCTAACTAGCTGCTAATGTAGCTATGCTAGCAAGCTAGGTAGCTAGCGTTTTTCATGCATCCTTCATTAAATCAATCGCCGGGCCAAGTTCGTCTCGGCCTGCCGCTGTTCAGAGCGTTTAGAGGGAGAACCGGCGGCAGGTTTCCGTTTCCTGCTGGCGCTCTGCGCGGCGGCAGACTGCAGCTGGTTCTGTTGCAGGTGATCGAGGTGTTCATCCGCTCAGAGGAAGGTCTGTCCCGCGACATGGTGAAGCATCTGAACGCCATCGAGGAGCAGGTTCTGGAGAGCCGGGCCTGGGCCTCGGACTCCGCCCTGTGGAGCGCGCTGGAGGCCGCCGGCGGGAAAGTCCCCACGGTGGAGGAGGTGAGCAGCCTGCAGCGACATGAACACATCTGTCCTTCCTGTCCAGAAGCAACTGAACAAACATCAGCAGGCGAAGCGTCTTCATAAACTAACGATATGTAATCATTTTTAACTCGGTAAAACTATTTTGATCCCTCATTTCAGAAGATAAACTGGTTTAGAGTTAATTTCTCCAAAGTTTCCTGTAATTTATGGCTGGATGAAACGCCAGGCTGATCCGTGTCATGCAGAAGGAGCCCAGACCAGAACCGAGAACATCGACAGGAACGAAGCTTTCAGCGTCTCATCTCTGCTTAAAATACGAACCGGTTCTGGTTCTGGTTCTGGTTCTGGCTCGTCATGAATCCCAGGAAGTGTTTATTCTGAAAATCAGAGTGAAACGACATGAACGTTCTCCTGATTCCTGGAATCATCCAGATATTATCCAGTCAAATCTACAGTGGCGTCCGTCTCTGTGCAGGTGAACTTCTCGTCTTGTCTGGATCCGGGTTCTGGTTCCGGTTCCTCTAACGGCCAGTCTCATCTGCCGCTGATGGCCCAGTCTCCCATCATCCACCCTCGGATCAGGGAGTTCAGGTCAGGTCTGGGAAGTTCACGGAAAGGTCAGTTTCCTGCCCGCTCACGTTTGTCACGGTTTCCACGGATCCCGACGGTTTTCTCTCCTTCCAGAAGTTCCTGCGTCTCCGCTGTCGGTCCATGACCGGTACAGCTCCCCGGCCGCCGGCAGCGCCAAGCGCCGGCTCTTTGGCGACGACCCGCCGGCGCCCCCTGCTGGCCTGAACGTCGCCGTCAGCCCGATGCCGTCTCCGGCCAAGAGGCTGACGTTTGGAACGAGCCAGAAGAACGGAGGACAGAGCGCCGTGCTCAGCATCCCACTCCAAGGTGGGTCCGGTTCTGGTTCTGGTTAAACTACCGTAGCAGTAACTTTTCAGCCTGAAATGAGTTGGTCCAGTGATGTGAGTCTAGCTGAGATCTAACAGAACCAGAACCGCTCTGTGTTCTGAGTGCAGGTGAGCGAACGTTCGCCTTGATCCCGGTCCAACCCTGCGACTCCTCCGGCGTCGTCACGGCTCAGTTCCTGCTGACCTCGTCCCCGGGTCGGGTTGCCGTCGCCACGGCGACCTCCAGCACCGAGCCCCAGGCGGGAACCGGGCGGCCGCGGCGAACCGGGTCACTGGCTCTGTTCTTCAGGAAGGTAGGAACCGGAAAACAGCCGGAGGAGTGCCCTTGACCTCTGACCTCCCTGACCTCTGGCCTCCTCCAGGTGTACCATCTGTCCAGCGTGCGGCTCAGAGATCTGTGCCTGAAGCTGGACGTGTCGTCGGAACTGCGTGGGAAAATCTGGACGTGTTTTGAGCACGTTTTGGTTCACTGCAGCGACTTGATGAAGGACCGGCACCTGGACCAACTGCTGCTCTGCTGCGTCTACATCATCGCCAAGGAAACCGCACGCTCGTTACATCATCGCCAGGGTAACAGCACGCTCGTTACATCATCGCCAGGGTAACAGCACGCTCGTTACATCATCG